GCGTGAGGGCGAATCTCTGACGCTGCACATAGCTTTTCGCACGTCAATTTGTCCGCGTGCCACCTCATCCTGACTGGACGCGAAACCAGCAGGCCCCAAATTGTCAGGGTAAAATACCCTGATTGCCCTGACTGGCGGCCGCTTTTTTTGGGGTTACCCTGACCCAGTCAGCCCCCTGAATTTCTTACTCAGACTTAAAAAGAGTTTGATTTTTTGTACCCTTATGAAATCCGAATTAGCGTTTGTTTCCCCTGACTTTCATCAGTGTGTTTTGTCAGAATATTATGTTTCTCTAGTCTGCAGTGGGGTACTTTATAGTGAGTACAACCCTTTTAGGGTTTGCTATATGTATCCCAATGTTTGCTAGTGAACCCCTCTCTTCTCATTGCATTCCTCAATTCTCACATATTTTACCCCTGTTACCCAAATACCGAGTCTTTCGTAGCGAGGATACTGTGGATGTTGCGCAAAATTGCGCTAGGGAGTAGTACGCAATGATAGGTCTCGTACATGGGGGCAAGGACTTCACCGCAACTGCAAAGCTTCCCGCTCAAACGAAAGGGGCGGTGACAATTCTTCTGCACAAGAAGGGGGACAAGAATCAGCTGGGAAACTACCGTCCTATCACTCTGCTCAATTTCACCTACAAAATTCTGGCGAAAGTGCTGGCGGACAGATTGAAAAAGGTGCTGCACAAGGTGATCTCACCTGAGCAATACGGTTTCATACCCGGACGCAAGCTCACTGACGCGGTTGCTCTGGTTGCCGATATCATTGATGCGGCGAAAAATGGAAACAAGGATTGGCATTTGCTGCTCGTCGACTTTCAAAAGGCGTTCGACTCGGTCTCAAGGAGTTTTATCTTCCAGGTCCTGAGGAAGATGGGCCTCCCAGACCGTTTCGTTGGCTGGGTTGAAGGGCTGCACGCACAGACGACGACGCGGATGCTAATCAACGGGTGGTTGGGAGAAGGAATTGGCGTGGAATCGGGTGTGAGGCAGGGTTGCCCGTTAGCACCTTACCTCTTTCTGTGTGCGGTCGAGCCGTTGGTGCAAGAAGTGGAGAGGAAGCAGCTGGGGTTGTGCAACACTACATCAGGGAAACGCTTGTCGTACCTGGGGTATGCCGACGACACCACCCTGATCCTGGAGGGAAAGCAGCAGATCAAGGAGGCCGAGGAGGTGTTAGAGGAGTTTGAGAAGAAATCCGGGCTGGCAACCAACAAAGAGAAATCGGTGGTGCTGCCGTTGGGAGCGAACCTGGGCATGCCGTCAGAGGGATCCTTCAAATGGGCCGGGCCGAAGGATGCAGAACGTCTCCTGGGAGTGTGGGTCACGCCGGACGGCAGTTGCCTGCCAACATGGGAAAAGACGCTGGGGGGAGTGACAAAGAAGCTGACCGGTTGGCGGCAAAAATACCTCACAGAAAAGGCGCGGACGGCGGTGTCAAATTGCTACATCTCGCCAATGATCGCTTTTCAAGCGCAGGTGTATCCTCCCCCAGAGGAAATATGGGCCGAGACGGAGAGGCTTCTGCACAACTTCGTCTCTGGGAATAAAGCTACCCCAGCGAAGGACTTTGTGTTGTGGAGCAAGGAGCTGCTCTACACGCCGCGGAAAGGGGGGGGTCTTGGAGTTCAGGATCCCAACGTCCTGTTGGCGTGTTTGTTGGCCAGAAGAGTGGGGCTTTTGATGACGGAAGCTGATGAGCTCAAACGGGAGCTGATGCTGAAGGCAGCTGATCTTCCGCTAGGACTTGACACCTTCATATCGCACGACAAGCTCCTGAAGAATTGGGAAGGGAGGAGTCAGCGCTGGAAACAAACGTGTGAGGCTTTCATGAAGTCGCCCCTGAGTGAACGGACGGTGCCACTTACAAGAGAGGCGGTGGGGCAAGAGAGGCTGGTTTTCAACAGGAAAATTCTAGTCGGAGTGGTTGCGCCGGTGGGAGGACAGAAACACGCGAAGGTGTTGTGGGAGACCCGACTAGGTGATCTGGTGAAGCAGTTACCTGATGGAAGCTGGGCGGAAAAATCCATGGAGGAGCTGACAGAGGAGCTGGGGGACAAAGGTCTGGCTAGGCTGGCGCTGAAAGCTCTCGAGATGGCCCCAGCAAAATGGAAGGAGACTCTGCTGACCCCTGGCGGGTGCTCGGCTGGCTCGGTGCCTACAGCAGCGCAAAAGCTTCCGCATGTCCCCCTGTTCGAGGACGGGAAGGTGATCCCCCTTGCAAAGATGAAGAGTTTCTGGAAAGGGGAAAAGCTGCAGTCGCACAGAAGGCTGAAATGGGCGGAACGATGGCGGGGGCGAATTAACTGGAACAAAGCGACGGGCATCAGAGAGTCTCTCGTCACACCAAGCAGACCAAGAGACATGCTTACCCGAATCCATAATTTCAATCTTCAAGTCGGGGAAAGGCTGGCGTTTCTCAGCAGCAAGCCGGTATGTCCGCACTGCTCCGAGGAGGAGACACTGGAGCACTGCCTTTTCACCTGCCCTAAAATCCAGTCGGTGGTATCGGCTCTGAAGCGGGCACTGCGGTTGATCAATCCACAGCGCACAGTGTCCAATCTGGGGGACTTGCTGTTCCAGAAGGCGGGATCCAGCTCAGCCTTCTCAGAAGCGACATTGATTGCCATCTCGTTATACCAGCTTTGGTTGGAGAGATGTGACGCGGTTTTCCAGGGAAAGAAGTTCAGAACGCGCCGAGTGCTGAGGCGGATTATTTTCGCGTTCAGGCTGCATGTGAGGGTCTACATCAAGGCGAGGGACGTGACGTGTCGGAAAAGGAAGAGAGCTGGCCATAATGACAAAATACAACGGTGGATGGCGGAGGAGCAAAAGCTGTTGGATCGGATTAAGACATCTGGAGATAAGAAGCTGACGTGGGTCAGGTCCTTTGAGACAATTTGGACCAACCCACGCATGATTCATCATCCCCCTTAGAAGCCCATCTGGGGCAGAAGGCCCTGCCCCTCACGCGCAGTTACGACTATTTTTGTTAGCATGCACTTGTATCATTAGTGTATGTTTTCAATTACAATATATATATAAAAAAAGGTCTTGTACATGAGCATCGAACTCACTACCTTCCCAACAACATCGACACTTCCTCCAGCTGAGACACCTCAACTTGCTATTACATAGTTTATGTTTTTTAGTAGAGTTGTGCTGTAGTCAGCTCAAGTTTTTTTTTACCCTGTTTCCATCAGTGTACGAAAATTTTTACCCTAGGAGTCAGGGCTGGCTCACCCTGGAACTCTGAGGACGCGGGCACTCGGGAGGGTCGGAGGAGGATCTCGTCTGCTCACCGACCCTCTGACGATTTTGACAGATCGCTCCGAGTGTGCTCTTGACGATTGTTGCATTTCGATTCCCAACCCTCGTTGTGCGCACGATCGTCAAAGCGTCATCAACAGTACCCTGCCACATTGACGATTGACATTCTAGCGAAACCCAATCCGTTTCGCTTGACTACCGGGTTTACACAAAGGCGACACGGGATTTTTGCTAGGCCAACAACATTAGCATTGTCCAATCAGAGTGATTGCATCCATCCCCCCGCTTGACCAACTCAATGTCCAGTGTCAAGGCCCGCGCACTACAAAATCCCCAGCACATCTCAAACACACGGAACCAGACGCAATGGATCGATTACGTATATTTTTATTGCTCTGCGGCATCTACGAGGGGTTCTTTGCACTACTAGTATCTTCCTTAGTAGTCGCCATCATGCAGTATGTGCCTGACCTTTTAGCTACGGCCATATTGCTAGATCAACGCCGTTTCCTTTCCGAAGACAGATTTACCTGCCAGATGAGGTGGATTCAACTAATCCCTATGCTCCCCGCTCTCACCTTCTACGAACATTTTAGGCTTGAACGCCCTGTTTTTAACTACCTAGTCCAGCGCTACTGTGAGTACCGACCGTCACTCAGTGCAGGGTGTATTCCTGCCTCGTTCAAGGTAGCTCTTGCCCTCACGCGCATGGCTCAGGGCTGGAATTTCCGCGCACTTGCTCTCATTTTCGGTGTGAGTCCTACCTACGCTCGAATAATTTTCCATGACTTCAACGCCTTCGTGGGACTAGTACTCACCCCACAATGGATTCAGTGGCCGGCTGAATTGGACGCTGATGTAATGGAATCCGAGTTTCGATATGAGTCTGGAATTCCCGGAATCGTAGGGGCAATCGACGGAACTTTCATAGAATGTCGCGGTCAGGGGTTGCATGCCGATGACTTTAGGAAAAGATTTGGCGATTTCACAATTATCTTACAACTCATCGTTGACAGTATCGGTCGTATCTGGAATTTCTTTGCTGGGTGGCCGGGATCAGTGAACGACGCCCGTGTGTGGGAGAATTCCCCGGCCCGCGTCCGCATAGAGGAGGGTGGTCTGTACGATCGCGTGTTGGTCGGCGACGCAGCGTATGGGTTACGTACATACACGTTTACACCTTACCGTGCCGAGCCAGACAGCAACGTGGTCGACTTGGAAGTTGTGTGGAATAAGCAACAATCACGTGCTAGAATGATCGTAGAACAAGTCAATGGCAGAATCAAGGGGAAGTGGAAATTGCTAGACAAGCGAATGGAATCAAACCTACCACGGGTCTGCCAGGCAGTGCAAACGGCAGTGACTCTACACAACATAGAATTAGTACTGGGCAGCCGACCTAGACTAGGACCTCCACGACCACGGGACCGCTGGTGGCTCCGTGGACGCGCAGCTACAGCACATCACTACGCATCTACGGGTCCGGGGTTTTCTCTCGAGCGTCGTCGGGCCCGTCTCCGGAATTTCCTCTACTCTTCTTGGCAGGAGGCTCATCCCGAAGAGAGTTCGCCAGCTCCCGGGTATGTTTCAGGAGCCGGCCCATTTCGCGCTCCAAAACACGTTCGAGAGTCCTTTCTAACCCGGACACCAGCGCACTTGGGAGTCCCTCAGAGTTGGTGACTTGCGTTCCCTTGGGTCCTTCACTGACTCCACTGTTTGTGCTCATTGCAGGAGGGGAGAGCGGCACTCGCAGCCCGCGAACACGGGTGGTAGGACGATGCCTCGCGGGTGAAGGCGTCTGCGCATGGACTGCCGCTGGTGGGCCACGCGGAGTAGAATGATCTGTGTGGGGTATAGAGCATGCACGATTAGTGATGTCAAGATATCAAAGGGGTAGAGTGCATCCAATGTGTGGGCGATGTAAAGGGATGGCAATTGCAGATCCTTACGAGTCTGAGGAGGCCCAGCCATGTGCGAAGACGGGTGGTGCGTGGCGTTCACAAAACCTGCGCACGTACCTGCAAAACATTTTTGTCGGAGATGTTAGTATTCACATGTGTCACACTGGACCACTTCAAAAAAGCATGCAGCTTACTCACCCTGGGTACCGGCGGTGCCGCTCGATCCTTCACCCCACGGGTTTGCCGGACGATTGACCGTCGTCTCTTCGGTATTCGCGTCACTACCGATGGTGTACTCTGGCGCAGCTGACGGACGGTCATGCAACACCGGGTCTAGAATGGGGTACCAGATCGGTGGGTTGGTCACGCGCTCTTCTCCCGAGGTGCCCATCCGATCGCGCAGCTGTTTGTACTTATCGACCATGCGTTGGAGCTTGCTTTTCATCGCATTCAGTCCATGACGAAAGTTAGGACGACAGCGGAGGATTTCTTCCATAATTGCGACACTATAATTCTGACCTTGTATCCCACGCATGCCACGGATGAGAGCATCAAGGTCCCGCCTTACCTCGGCGAGCACAATCTCCTCGTCATCAGTCCACCCAGAGCCAGCAGTTGTCCCGGTTCTTGCACGCTGCCTGTTAGTACTTGCGCGCGAGCGTGGGGTAGGCAGGGCAGGCATCGGAGCCGGCGTAGCAGTGTCCATGATATTGTCGTCGTCGTGAGCGACGGGCCCATTGACGGGGGTCGGGGCCGCCATCATGGGGGGTGCCAAGTCATCCAGCTCCCCCAAATCATCGTCAGCATCAGGTAGCTGCGCGTTAAAAGCATCCAAGTCGATGACGTTTCCTGGAGGCACCCTGGTCCGGCGACGTGCTCCTCGGTTGGTGGTGGTTGCACGAGTGCCGGTCGGGCGGGGCGGCGTTGTTATCAAATAGATGACGGGGCCAGGCGCCGGGTTGGTCGCAGGGGCAGCCGTGGTTGACGCTTGAGTGTCACGAAGCTGACTAGCAGGATCTAAAGGAGAATCACCATCGCGACCTGAGTCTGGTTCGTTGTCCGCCATTGCAGAGAATTGAGACTCGTGAGTAATTGTGTTGTGTGTAAACTGACTAGTCACATTTGTAGCTGTGACGAATGGTTCTTTCAAGTCAATGTCCAATGTCCAATGTCAAGATTTCTCGAAGCGCGGTCAAGATTTCCAATTTCGCGAAGGTCCCGCCAGTGCAATTTCGCCGACGCGCTGTCCAACGATCGATCGTGCTTGACCACACCCATCACGATTTTTTTTTCGGCTTGATTGCCGGGACGATCGATTCTCCGATCTTGACATTTCAAAACTGGTAACCCTTGGTCACTGTAGCGTACTGTTTCAATGTACTGTAGGGTGGTTACAAATCTGGTTACCACCAACCCCCCCCCTAAAATCGATTCCTGCCCATCGATGATCGGTGTGAGTGCCCGCGTCCTGATTTGACAGGGTGGGCCAAAACCAATTTTGTTAGAAAGAAGAAGTGTTGGACTAGAAAGGAAAGGGAGTACAAGTGCCTAACCCTAGAATTGTGTACCCCCTAAAGGCTAACCCACTGTAGCCTACACAAATACAACATATACAATGTTTGACACACCCCCATAGGCTAAGTGGGGGAGAGCAAGCGGTCACAAGACCAGTCAAAGCAAAGCAAAGCAAGACAAGCTCAGGGTGGATCTCAAGGATACCACACAAATTCCGAGCACAAGCAAATGGTCACAAGACCAGTTCACATACAGTTTGATAATAAAACAAGAGGTACAGTGATCACAACCTAGCAAGTGTAACCATGCAGGTATATATATAGAGATCATAGTACAAGCAGAGTCAAGAAGTGAGCAAGTGAGGGAGAGTAGGCACAAGGCCTAGAACAGTACAGAAACGCTGATGATCACAAGGCTGAAGTGCCTTGGTGAACACATCAGCAGTGTTGGCCCGAGTGGCCACGTACGAGAGACGAAGCTGACCCCTCTGCTGCAGCTCTCGCGCTAGGAAGTAGCGCAGAGCGATGTGCTTCGTTCTGTGCTCCAGTCTGTGCTCCTCACACAAGGCAATGGCTGCCTTGTTGTCGACGTACAGCACTGGAGGAGAACGAGGCCGCTCTCCGAGGTCGGTCAGCAGGTAGGTGAGCAGCGTAGCTCCTGGGCCGCCATGGCTGTGGCGTAGATCTCAGCCTCACAACTGGAGCTGAGAACAGAAGAAGAGCGTGTAGAACGCCAGGAAACAGAGCCAGAGCCAAGGCTGAAGGTGTAACCCTGAGACGACCGCTGCGTAGCCTGGTCGTCAGCCCAAGAAGCGTCTGAGTGTCCAGTGAGGACAACGTCGCGCCGTCCTCCAAGCACAAGCCACATGCCCGACGTACTGCACAGGTAACGCAACACCCTCTTAGCGGCATCCATGTGCTCCTTCCGGTGACGGCCAGGAGCGACATAGCGTGCTAGGATGCTAAGAGGGTATGCAAGGTCAGGTCGAGTGCAGGTCATCAGGTACATGAGGCAGCCAACAAGCTCTGGATACAGGCCTCTCGGCTCTACGGACTCATCCGAAGGCAGAGCTGAGAGCGAGTGACCGGTAGGCAGAGGAGTGGGCTGAGGCGAGGAGTACGTGAAGCCGAAGCGCTGAAGGACCTGCTGCACCATGTGTGACTGAGTCAAGGTGATGGTGCGCTGTGCTCTGTCCCGGGTGATCCGCAAGCCAAGATAGCTTGTCAGCTCACCCAGGTCTGTGCACGTGTGTCTCTTCTGCAGCTCCGACTTCACGTGGGCGAGTGCCTCAGTGTCAGCAGTAGCAAAGACCAAGTCGTCGACGTACACGAGAACGTAGAACGGCGGCAGAGTGGTGTCGGTGCGTAGAAACAGCGACGGGTCAGCAGTAGAAGGAGCAAACCCAAGAGCCGCAAGCGTAGTCCTCAGTGTGTCGTGCCACTCACGGGGTGCCTGGCGGAGACCGTAAACTGGCCGCCGGAGGCTCCACTGGGTACCAGGAGGGAACGACCCAGTGAAGCCAGGTGGGCGGCGCAGCCAGATCTCCTCGTGCAGGCTGCCCTGTAGGAACGCAGTGCTGAAGTCAAGAGAGTGGAGCTCGTAGTCACGCTGAGCGGCGACGTGCAGCAGAACCCGAAGAGTGGTCATCTTCGGGGTCGGGGAGAAGGTCTGGAAGAAGTCAACTCCCTCTCGCTGACTGAAGCCTCGTGCAACGTAACGCGCCTTGAAGACAGGCGGAGAACCCGGCGGCCGCTTCACCCTGAAAATCCACATGCCACTGACGATGTTCGCCCCAGGTGGGGGAACCTCGTCGACGTAGGTGCCTGTGGATTTCCAGGAAGCCATCTCTGCGTCCATGGCTGTCTGCCACTGAGAGGAGTAGAGACCCTCCATCGCCTCTGCGTAGGAGCGTGGGGTCGAAATGTCTGGTGCATCCGGGTCTCCCTCAGGGGCAACTAGCATGGACACGAGATGAGGCAAAGCAGCGGCAAAGCACTCAAACTCCTCCTGTCTGTCCTCAAGGACGTCCGTGCCAAGAGCACACTCACCCCCGACGGACGGAGGACAGACAGACTCAGACTCAGCAACAAGGCTAGCGGCGTAGTCTAGACGACAGGCGGCAGCAAAGTCAACAAGCTCAGCGACTAGAGCAGACGCAGCAGAGGACTCGAAGGAAGGGTCAGTGACAACAGTGGCAAGGAGACGCGTGACAGTAGGACTGGCAGCACGAAGAGAGTCAGACTCCGGGTCAGCAAGAGCAGGAAGAGAGGACGCAGGAGGAGACGGCAGAGGGACACGCTGTGGGGCAGTGGAAGGACGCAGAGTCATATAGTGAGTGCCAGGGACAGGAGGAGGTCGCTCACGCGGAGCACGACGACCAGCGCGGACAGCACTGACAGGTGACTCTGGACGCGACTCAGGCGACGGAGGACGAGACTCAGGCTCACGACGCTCCGTAAGACCTCCCGTCGGCTCAGCGTAAGGAGAAGGACCAGGCAGTGGAGAGGCTGGCTGTAACTGTGACTGCGACTGGACAGGCGGTGGACTCAGTAGGGGAGGAGAAGGACCAGTAGAGGGCGGGAGACTAAGAACCTGCTGAAGGAGCGGAACGTAGTACGGCCGCGGCCGCTCAGCACCTCCAGCAACAACCCCCTCAGCAGGCCCAGTCCCAGCAGCTCCAGTACCTCCAGTACGAGCACCCCCAGGACCTCCAGTAGCGCCAGCAGCACCGCTAGCAGCAGCAGCACCTCCAGCAGCTCCAGCAGCACCAGCAGCACCTCCAGTAGTAGCAGTACCTCCAGCAGCTCCAGCAGCACCAGCAGCACCACCAGCACCAGCAGCACCTCCAGCAGCGTCAGCAGCACCAGCAGCACCTCCAGTAGTAGCAGTACCTCCAGCAGCTCCAGCAGCACCAGCAGCACCACCAGCACCAGCAGCACCTCCAGCAGCGTCAGCAGCACCAGCAGCACCTCCAGTAGAAGCAGCACCTCCAGCAGCTCCAGCAGCACCAGCACCAGCAGCACCTCCAGCAGCACCAGCAGCACCGCCAGCAGCAGCACCTCCAGCACCAGCAGCACCTCCAGCACCAGGGTCCGCGGCACTAGGAGCGCCACTCCGGAGACTGCAGCGCCGAGCGTACCACTCCCGGAGCCGCTGGGGAGAGGGCAGCTCCCGCCTAGGAGGGGAAGCACTAGCACCAGCTCCAGCAACACTCCTAGCTCCAGAAGCACCCCTCCTGAGGCTGCAGTACTGTAAGTACCACTCTCGTAGCTGCTGTGAGGAGAGAGCTCCTCCAGGTGAAGCACGCTCAGTCTCAGCACCCTCAGACGTAGCACACCCAGGCTCAGCACCCCCAGATTCAGCACCCGCAGGCTCCGCACCCCCAGGCTCAGCACCCCCAGACTCCGCACCCCCAGGCTCCGTACCCCCAGGCTCAGCACCCCCAGGCTCCGCACCCCCAGGCTCCGCACGCTCAGGCTCAGCACCCCTAGCAGGACGAGAGTCGACAGCTACCTCGACAGGCTCAACCGGGTCTACCTGGGACACACCTGAGGGAGCGGCACCCTGAGGGGGGAGGGGGTCTACCACAGCAGCACCTGGCCCGAGGAAGAGAGGCGGGGGGGGGAGCGGGGCAGTGCGGTAGGGGAAGAGGCGGTAGTAGGGCACGGACTCGTCAAAAGTGACGTCCTGAGAGGGCAGGACACGGCGCGAGGTGGCGTGGTAAAACTGCCAACCAGACGCGTCCGGGACAAAGCCAAGGAAGACACAAGGAACAGCGCGGGAGGAGAGCTTGTCCGCGGACGTATCGCGAACAAAAGCTCGAGAACCCCAGACCCGAAAACGCGACGCATCGCCAACCTCTCCCGTCCAACGCAGTGTCGGGGAAGTCTCCGGCAAGGAGACACGGGGCCAGAGGTTGAGCTGATGCGCAGCGTATCGGACCGCAAACGGCCACAGAAAGTGGGGGGCAGCCGCATGGATCAAGGAGGTACGAGCGACCTCCATGACCAAGCCAATGCGGCGCTCAGCAACCCCATTCTGCTGTGGAGAGGCCGGAAGCGTGAACGACTGGCGGATGCCGTGCTCCGCACAGTAGGCTGCCAAGAGGTCGGAGGAGAACTCACCACCTCTGTCAGAGTGCAAACGCAGGACAGGAAAGTCCGAGTGGAAACGCTCACTGAGCTGGAGACGAGAAGCGCGGATCCAAGGGATCAAGACATCAGGGACCTCACCCTTGGTGCGCAAGGGGAAGACCGTGGTGTAGCGCGAGTAGTCGTCAACAACGATCAGAAAGTACCTCTCCTGATCCTGTCCACGGACGCGGGCTGGGCCCCACACGTCCATGTGGAGCGTCTGCAAGGGAGCAGTCGTCGGGGGAAACGAGGAGGAGTGAGGAGCGGCGCGCTGCCGCCCCTCGACACAGGGAAGACAGGGAGGAGCAGGCGAGGGTGGGAGGGGAGGGAGAACCCTGGGAAGACCAGAGACAAGGTACCGTTTGTGCATGGCACGAAGGCGCTGCACTGACGGGTGACCAAGGCGGTGGTGCCAGAGGACGGTCTCGTGTGCTAGAGAGCGACACGAGCAGGGGGCAGACAGCTGACCTGAAGTAGACGCAGACGCAGCTACCTGAGGGGACTCAGTGGTCAGTGTGTACAGGTCCGACCCCGGCTGCCGAGTGAAGGTAGCCAGGTGACGGCCCGTCCGAGCACACGTGCAGTGTGTCACGCGCTCGTAGGCAGGGGTGAACTGGTGGACACCCCCGTCCTGGAGCGCACAACCCGCCACCAAGTTCGTAGAGAACGAGGGGAGGTGGAGACCTGACAGTGTGCTCGACGGAACTGCAGGACAAGGAAGGACAGGGGAGGAGGTCGCAATGACCGGACCCCCAGAGGGGTCAGCAAGGGAGACACCAACTGGCCGAGCAAGCTGCTCAAGGGCAGTGTGGTCACGAAAGAAACAGCGAGAAGCACCTGAGTCCAGTGTGAAGGTGTGCAGTGCCTCAGTAGACTCAGTACCAGGGGGCGCAGACTCACGAGCACCTAGAGCAGTAGCCTCACCAGTACCTGGGGCAGGAGACACGGGAGTACCTGGAGTGGCAGCCTCACCAGCACCTAGGGCAACAGACGCACTAGCACCTAGAGCGGCAGCCTCACTGGTCCGAATGCCCGGGTCGGGCGGAACACGCAGGTACTGAGCACCCTCTCCACTAGTAGACAACACATACATGGCAGTGAGAATAGCATCAAAGTCTAGAGCATAGATATCAATGTTTTTCTTCATCAGATCAGCCCAGCGGGGCAGCTCAGTGGCAGCAGGGAACTGAGTACGCCAAGCGTCGTCGAGGCGGGAGAAGCAGCGCTGCGTGGTGTGCGCCCTCCCACACGTCTGACCAGTGCGGTCACCTGTGCGGATGACGTACGTGCAGCTAAGTCCACCCCCCCCCCCCCCCCCGTGCTGAGAGTACCACTCACGAAGCTCCTGGGGCGACGGAGTCGGCTGCTGGCTCTGGCCACCGCCAGCGCCTCCACGACCACCACCTCCGCCGCTGCCACCCCGTCCACCACCGCCCCTGCCGCCTCCGCGTCCACCGCCGCCACCACCACCGCCCCCGCCCCTGCCACCTCCCCCGCCGCTGCCGCCACCACCCCCACCGCCGCCACCACCCCCACCACCGCCTCCCCCGCCGTCACCTCCACCTCCCTTGCCCCCTTTGCCCTTGCCGCTGCGGCGCCAGCTCGGAGCGGACGCAGTTCCGACCTGCTCAGTACCAACTAGGTCGGCAGCAGCAGCAGAGGCGACAGAGGGGAGAAGGGGGGAAGGGGAACACCCCTCGAAGAAAGGGGTGCGGGGGTCGCCACGAGAGGCACCTACAGCGACTATGCTAGCCTCGGCTGCAAGCAGTTCCTTCTCGAGGAGGTCAATGGTGAGCTCAGTGGGGCAACGAGCTAGGAAGTGGTCCCTGACTGAACGCAGAGTGTCAGGGAGGCGAGTGACTAGGTGGTAGAGAGCGAGCCAGAGCGGGGGGGGGTTCTTGTCAAGAAACTCAGCGGGCATAGCAGCACGGAAGCGGGCCTCACTAGTGCGGAGGTGCGTGATGAGGTCAGAGACTGTGGAGAAAGCTGACAGGTCTGGGAGTAGGGGAGCGAGAGACGGCCTAGTGCAGCAGAGGCAGGTGAGGAGTAGCGTGCAACTACAGCAGTGTACAGTGCCTGCGCAGTTTTGTGCTGGCCAAAGTGCTCGCGTTCATCTACCGGCAGGGAATTGCGAATAGCGAAGCGAGCGTGAGCGTCACGAGTCTGCCACTGTGAGCGGGCAGTACTGTCAGCTGTAGCAGCAGGGGCAGTAGCATGGCCTAGCGCGTGATCGTACAGTGAGATATCCTCCTTGGCAGTGAGCTGGAGGAATAGGTGTAAGTCATCGAGCCAGATCTCAAACTTCAGTGGGCGGCCCTCAGCATCGAAAGCTAGCACAGAAGGACTAGCCATAGTTGCAGTGACAGTAGTAGTAGGAACTGCAGTAGTAGGAACAGTAGGGCGGCACGGCTCTGCCTAGGCGGCGCGGCTCGGTTCGGGCGGCGCGGCTCGGTTCGGGCGGCGCGGCTCGGTTCGGGCGGCGCGGCTCGGTTCGGGCGGCGCGGTTCGGCTCGGGCCGGGCTACGGGGCAGTGCGCGACGGGGGGGGGGGGGGGGGGCGTGCACACGGGCGGCTGTAGCGGGCGGGCCGTGGCCTTGCGTGGGCCTGACTAGTACGTGGGCGGCCTAGAGGGCGGCGGCACGGCCTACGGGCGGGGCTGCCGGTCGTTAGCGGGCTACGCGCGGCCAGAAGGGCCCGTCGACGGGCTGCTAGCGGGCGGCGCGTGGCAGCGTGGGAGGCTAACGGGCGGCGCGCTCGCAGGAAACGCCGCGCGCGGGCTGCTAGGGGGCGACGCACGCGAGAAAAAAAAAGGCCGCGTGCGGCTCTACTGAGCTGCGCACGGGCAGTAGGAGACAGTGAGGCGCACGAGGGCGCACTAGGAGAAAGGCGCTCGAGGGCGCTTCGAACGGAACGGTGGGCCCTAAGGAGCGATCCTAGGTCTAAACCTACGCTCTTAATACCATGTTAGAAAGAAGAAGTGTTGGACTAGAAAGGAAAGGGAGTAGAAGTGCCTAACCCTAGAATTGTGTACCCCCTAAAGGCTAACCCACTGTAGCCTACACAAATACAACATATATAATGTTTGACAAATTTTGGGTCCCTGGAAACCAATCAGGACCTTGAAAGTCAAACAAAGTGAAAATGGGTGCTGACTCGCTTGAAATTCGAAATTCGTTACTGTTTTAATCAGGATTGAAAGAATAAAATTATGCATGTGCTTATAATAAATCAGGGTTTTACAGGGGGGGCGTTTATAATCGAGGAATGGCCATAAGCGCCATGCTCCAGATATAGGCGCCGGCGCCTTTAATCGGACGGCGCCTATATCCGGGGCCATACGGTATGAGTTGTGAAAAAAAAAAAAAAAAAACACACACACACACACACACACCTGTCCATGCAGTGCAAGGTCAAATGAGAACGGCCAGCCACCCATACAATTGAGAAGAAAGCCTCAGCACCCTAACTGAACACACCTTCCACCTTACCTGGCCTGGTACTGCTGGTGTACCAAAGGCAGTTTAACATGGATGGAGCCTACCTAGCGCATGCCTCGTATGTTACTCCATTGCAGTGCAGAGGCACATATGCCGCATTGACGCGTAATACGCTACGCATGCTAACTCACATCACGACTAATCTCACTGCCGCTACACCACATGGACAAACGCCATACCGTACGGTATTTGGTTCTGATACGTACTAGCCCTAAGCATGCTGCTGTGGCTAACACTTTCATAATTACTGTAACATACTTATAGTAAAGCAACTGTACCCATGGCAGTCAGGTCAACCTCTAAGCCAGTTCAGAAGCTGCTGCAGAAGGGCGGGCCATACATGCAGCGCCAAGGGAAGGGGACAGGGAATGAGAGTAAAGAAAATAGGAGTGAACGAATTTAGGAGAGCTGATGACGGCCAGAGCCAAGCCCTTGCATGACAAGACAATTGGCCTATAGAGAACTGTATTGCACCGCACTCCATTCCAATCAAAAACTATATGCTATGGAACAGATTAGTACTAGCACCATCTGAGTAACAGTACTCTGTGCCATACCATCCCATCCCATCCCATCCCATCCCATCCCATCCCATCCCTTACCTAGCCAGGGCGTGCCATGCCATGCACAGTCGAATTATAAGCACCATCCATGCAACAATGCCTGAGGAAGTAATCAGCCATCCTTATGCCATGGGCATTTGTACACATGCCCATACCAAAACAACCACGGCATACACAAATCCATACTGCAGCCACACAACAGCATACCCAAACAGCACCCACCCATACCCATATAACACCCACCGATACCCATACAACACCCACCCATACCCATACGATACCCATACCCCATACCCATACGATACCCATACCCATACAACACCCATACCCATACAACACCCATATCCATCCAATCACATACCCATACACTAACCAAACCTATGCAATACCCAAACCCTGACCGTGTCCATTGAAGCGATCAAACCATAACCACGACTAGAACCTGCACTGGCATTTCCATACAACCATACCATATGAAACCCATCCATGACAATGCTCAAAATGCTGACAGCAACACAACCTCAGGCATCAAACGCAGCATGATACTAACAAGTCTCCTCGATTCACCCGCCCACCCACCCACCCACCCACCCACCTGTGCTAGTCACCCTTGCAGCTTCAACGGTTTCTCCAGCACACACGTGAGCACAAAGTGGTTGCCTTTCCGCTCCGAAGCACGCTGCTTCCTCCCCAGGCTCCAGTACCGCTTGCCATACCCAAACGCCTCCAGCGCTTGCACGTACGCCTTCATCTCCTTGTCGGGCGCGTAGAACATCTCTATCCACCACAGCCCGCCCGGTCTCACCACCCTGTCCCACTCGAACAGCATCGCCTCAAACTCAGCTAAGTGCGGGTACTTAACGCTGTTGAGCGTGTGAATGAGGTCCAAAGTGTTGTCGAAAAACGGGAGCGGAGCAGAGTGTGGGAGGTAGAGGGGAACGAGGCCACGCTGGGCTATGGTCTGCATGTATGGGACAGCTTTCTCGTCCTCTCGCCCGCCATCCGTGTTCATTCCTGTGGTGATTATAGTGATATTGTGCAGAGCCATCACCGCAGCGAACCCTCCCGTACCACCTCCCACATCCAGGCCAATCCTCAGCGCCCCTGGCGGCTTCAGCTTGAGGAAAGCCTTGAGGGGAATCGTACCGGACACACTCTTATCCCACCAGTGCTGTTCCGACTCCACGTCAAAGCACCCCTTGCACGCCACGCCCTCCTCCTTACTCACCTCCACGCACTCCTTATACGACCCGCACCGCATGCCCTCCCCCCACCGCACGTTCTCGTCTCGCAGCGCCTCCTTCGCAAACACAGCCGCCGGAAAACCGAGGGTGTACTCTTGAAAATCCGGGGGGGTGAGAGCAGTGGCTCGGCAGCGGCGGCGGGGGAGGTGCAGGCAGTTGCGAGCGAAGCGGAGGTGCTCGACAAAGCGCCAGTCGTCGGGGCAGGCGGCACGCTTGGTGTAGTTGAGATAGCGCCGCATCTCCGCTGTTGTCGCCATGCACAGCCCAAACCCGGGTGACCGCGCCGCTGCACTCGCTGCACTTCCCCCTGCTGCTGCTGCTACCACTCCCGCTCCGGCTGCCCCGCCCCCACCTGCTCCCCCTCCCGCTCCCCCTCCGCTGTCTCGCATCTTCGCCAGCTCAGCGACCAGCTGGGCTTTCTCCTTCTCCGATTGGGCGAGCGCTGACCTGGCGTCGTCGAGCTGGCGGTTGATTTCGGCCATCTTCTCCTTGATGGCAGAGAGTGGGCCCGTGGGGATGGACCCCGACAGCAGCTCCCAGTTCATGTGGGGGGGTTCAGACGAGGGGGTGGAGGAGGGAGAGGAGGGAGTGGAGGGAGGGGTGTTGGTGCTGGTGCTGCTGTCGCTACTGGCAGTGGCACCACTACTGCAGTTGGTGTTGGTGGTGGTGGTCGTGGTGGTGCCGCTGCCGCTGCTGTCGCTCCGTGCGGAGCTGACTAGGTCAGCGCGGCACTGCTGCAGAGCCGTCTTGCACGTCGCCACCTCCTGTGCTGCCGCTGCTGCCGCCGCAGCCGCCGCTGCTGTTGCGGCAGATGACGCTGCTGCTGCTGCTGCTTCTGCTGCTGGCGCTGCAACGGACCCTGCACTAGGAGACCCCGTGGTTGTTTCTGCTGCACTAGGAGACCCCGTCGATCCTGCTGCACCTACTGCTGCTGCCCCTGGATCAGCGGCCAGCAGGGCCGAGGCTTGCTCTTCCGCTGACGACGCCGCGCTTTCAGGTGGCCCATCCGCTGCTGACTCAGACGAGCCCTCCTCTGACGTGTCACCATCTGCGTCAGACAAAGAGGGAATGAAAGCAGCCATTGCTACCCCGTCCGCTTCCCCCCTACCTCCCTCCTCTCCTCTCGGCCCACCTCCGTCCATCTCCCCCAATTGAGCCGTCCCTCCCCCTGCCAATCCTCCCCCGTCCCCGCGTCCCCCGTCATGCTCCACCCCCGTTGCAATCACGCCCCCCTGACCCTCCCTATAGCGAGCAATTTCCGCCTGAAGCACGCGCACAGGCTCGCCCCTGTCCCCCTGCTGCCATCCCCCCAACGCTCCCCCTCCCCCTTCCGGTCTCCCCCGGCGCGCCTCTTCTCGAAACCAGCGCAGCGTGTCGTGCGGAGAAACTCTCGTCGGGTAGCGCCCCGACGCGACGGCAGCGGCGACGGCGGGCGACGCGGCGGCGGGCGCGGCTGACGCGTCGTCGTTTGATTGGAGGAAGAGGTCGGAGAGGAGGATGCAGAGGCAGAGGAGGAGCGAGCCGACGAAGACGAGCCGCACGGGGCGGTTGGAGAAAAAAGTCGCGGGGTTGATGGAGAGTGAGGAGATTAAGGAGGAGGGGAGTAAGGCATGCTGCTGCTGCTTGCCTCGCGCCGTCATTTCGAGTCCCGCTGCTGGTGAGTTACTGCCAAAACCGCCGCCACGCTTCGTTCCTCAATTGCCTTCCCAATCACTTGTCTCGCACCTAGAAGACACTTTTGGGAGATCGCACGCACCAGGAGTGCGTCATGGACGCACCTTATTGCCGATTGTACATCTACTAACACCGCTCCCAACCGCTCCCATCTCCGCTCTTTCCGCCGAAACAGATTCTGGCACCTTCTTGCCAACTCTGCATATACAAATCGCACGCTATCGAACTCGCTAAAAATCGGGCGACCCGCCACGTACGTCGTTCTACGAAAAGGTAAGCGGAACTTCACACCCGCAGGTAATTCCGTCAAGCCAACCTGCTATCGAGTCTGCGCTCTCTCGCGTGAGCAGACGCGCACTAAGAGCAGCGATGCGCCTGGGCGAGCACCTGAGCCTCACACCCGCTGTTGGTTCGACGACTAAGGATCAACTGAAATAAAAAATGCCGTGAATATGGTGTTACGGGTGTGCGGGCAAGGGGGAAAATCTCCGCGACATACGGGGCTTTCAGGTGATTCAGGGGTGTGACGCGAGAAAAAATGCCGTGAATATGGTGTTAGGGGTGTGCGGGTTTCACAAACGAATTGAAAAGACTTGCGGTATAAAAATTATTACGGAATGTGCAACTAATGTCTATAACGAGGATAAGAGTAGTGTGGATTAGAGTCGAGCTATGTGAGGTTCACAGGTTGGGTTAGGCTAGGTTCGGTGGAAACCTCTCTGACGCGATGACTATCCTGCTGGAAACCCGATGTTCAATTTAGCATGCATGGTTACGACCTTTGATAAAACCTTAAAACCCGCAGCCTGAATTACAAGTGCGAGTCAACGCTAGGTTTGGGTTGGTTTGGGGGGCAGGCAAACTGGGGTTCGGAAGATTAGCGAAAGTTGAACCCTAGCGAAAAACAAGTGTGCGACAACTTGGTGTCGCTACCTACCAAACGACACCAGAGAAATGGGCTTGCTTACCAATCTGAGAGCAAAGAAAACCACCCCGACATACCTCAGGCTGGCTTAGCAGCTAATAGATACCGCAAGTAGGAAAACGCGAGGCGACCGACAAAGTCAACCTGAATGCCACAGTGAAAAGCACATACGGTACGGCCCTATGACGCACTCGAGACAGTATGACCACCTAAATGCATAGCAGGAGTGCGTGTGCGACAGGTGAAACGCCAGCATACACCGCCTAGGTGGTCCGAATCGACGGCGACCTGTCGCATAAGTCTTGTCCTTACGAGGCGCGTTTCCCCTAAACATCGCCAGCAACATCCACATCCCGTCGCCCACAATCTTAGGGTTACCGCGCGGCGCGGTTCAGATACCCCCCGACGCCGGCAATTAGCCTGACAATGACCCGCATTTAGCGGGCACGGGGTGAGCGTGCCATTCCCGTAGCGCAAAAATTCCCTACCAGTCACACGAACGACCTGTACCACCCGCCAGCGATATCCCAACAATTCGCAACATCATTGCCCATACGATTCACCCTCATTTCCGCGACTCAAAACGGCCGCCTTACCCCTAATAAGCGCCAGCTATAGGCGACTCAAGCGCCAAGGATTCGCCATCCCGTCGACTGCTGGTCCCCTTCTCGTCGGCCGCCCTACCCTTTTCCGTCAACCCCACATCCCCTTTCCATCGTTTTCTGCTCCCCTGCCCGTCGCCCGCACCGCACAGCACTGCCTCCCGTGAAATTGCAACATCTCACCCCTCCCCACAGGTCTAGCAGGCGCACACCCTCTAAGCTGTTTCGGAATTTCGGGGGAAATATTGTTACTCTCACTTCTGCGCTCGTTATCCCACACCCGGTCATTGGTGAAAAATATCTAAGCGAAACAAATCCTGCACCGCCATGTAAGGGAAATCATGCGGGATGTGAGCGCCTGATGACCTACCCGCACACAGGGCATACCCCTTGACCCCCCTGACCTTGTCTCGCCCTGCTCCTGTTCCCTCCCACATCGCCCACAGCTTCCCTTCCCCATCGCCCACGCTTTCCCAACGACCTCGCCCTCGCGACCTCTCAGACTCATCCCATTTCCAGGTAACGAGGACGGGATGGTATGAGGACAGATAGGGAGAGGAGGGACGGGGAGAGGAGGGACGGGGAGAGGAGGGATGGTATGAGGACGGATAGGGAGAGGAGGGCCGGGGAGAGGAGGGATGGTGGGGGGAAGGAGGCGTGAGGGTGGGGGGAAGGAGGCGTGAGGGTGGGGGGAAGGAGGGCAGAGGGTGGGGGGAAGGAGGGCAGAGGGTGGGGGGAAGGAGGGCTGAGGGTGGGGGGAAGGAGGGCTGAGGGTGGGGGAAGGAGGGCAGAGGGTGGGGGGATGTATGGCGTGAGGGTGGGGGGAAGGAGGGCTGAGGGTGTGGGAAGGAGCGCTGAGGGTGGGGGAAGGAGGCGTGAGGGTGGGGGGAAGGAGGGCTGAGGGTGGGGGGAAGGAGGGCTGAGGGTGGGGGGAAGGACGGCTGAGGGTGGGGGGAAGGACGGCTGAGGGTGGGGGGAATCCGGCCTGAGGGTGGGGGAAAGGAGGGCTGAGGGTGGGGGGAAGGCGGCGACGGACGGGGAGATGAGCGTCGTTTAGCCGAGCACCTCATCTCTCGTAGCTCTGCACAGCAGTGCAGAATAGAACACCGCACTGCACAGCACTGCAGAGCAGAACAGAGCACACAAACGGACAGCAGAGCATGTAGTGTTGTGGCTCACATGTAGCACGAGCACAGCAGCAGCTGTAGCACGCGCTTCCGGTTGTCCCTGTTGGGCGGAGGGTGTGGGGGCGGGACGGGGAGAAACATGGGAGAGGGGGCGGGAGAAGAATAGGATCGAGGGCGCGGGGGAAATAAGGGAGAGGGCGATCGGGAGAGGAAACGGGGAAGGTGTTGAGACGGAATGGGGTGAGGCGGAGTGAGGTGAGGAGGAGATGGGGTGGGGCGGACTGAGGTGGGGCGGAATGGGGTGGGGCGGAATGGGGTGGGGCGGAATGGGGTGGGGCGGAAATGGTGCCACTCACGGTGTCGCAGCGAGGGATGGGGTGATGAGGGATGGGAAAATAAAGGATGAGGACATGAGGGATGAGGAGGTGAGGAATGAGGAGGTGAGGGATGGGGAGGCGACGGAAGGGAGTGCGCATGGGCGGCGGAAGGGAATGCGCATGGGCGGCGGAAGGGAGTGCGCACGGGCGGCGGAAGGGAGTGCGCACGGGCGGCGGAAGGGAGTGCGCATGGGCGGCGGAAGGGGGTGCGCATGGGCTCCGGAAGGGATTGTGTGTGGGCGACGGAAGGGAGTACGTGTGGGCGACGAAATGGAGTGCGTGTGGGCGACGGAAGGGAGTGCGCATAGGCGATGGAAGGGAGTGCGCATAGGCGACGGAAGGGAGTGCAGTTAGGCGACGGGAGGGAGTGCGCATAGGCAACGGAAGGGAGTGCAGCTAGGCGACGGGAGGGAGTGCGCATGGGCTTCGGACGGGAGAGCGCATGGGCGACGGAAGGGAGTGCGTATGGGCGACCGAACGAAGTGCGAGTGGGCGACGGTAATGGAGCTTATCGTGCGGGATAGAGGGGAGTGAGCTGGGCGACGGGAAGAGGGTGAGCAAGGGCAACGGAAAGGAGTGAGGAGGGGCGTAAGAGGCGTTGCGCGGAGGCGAAGGGAGGGGAGGGAGCGTGATCGGGACGGGAGGGAGCGCTCATACTCCTTTGAGGGGTGTGCGAGAAGGCGTCTTTTGAGGGGAGTGCGCGAAGGCGTCGGGAGGGGAGTGCGCGAAGGCGTCGGGAGGGGAGTGCGCTATGGCGGTGGAGGGAAGTGTGCGACGGCGACGGGTCACGTGGGCGACGGAGGGGCATGAACCCGCGCGACGGCGGCGATGAGAACGCCACAAAGTATGTGTAACGCGTCATGCTCTAATCTGGACAGAGCCGGGCGCGGCTAGGCACAACCGCGACATCGATGCCCCTGGCGATAGGGAAGTGAAACCGCGGACGATGATGGGCATGTGCACGTAAATGGTTACTGCTCTTCCCGTGCCGTGAGAACGCGATGTAAGGCGTGCGGAAAGAGTGTGCGACTCAGCTCGTCGGAATGGAGACGTTGTACGTGAGCGTATTGTGGAACCCTAAACTGACGTGGAAGTCAGCGCGCTAACTCTCTTCTAAGCTATGGCTTTCCTAAGTTTGGCCCTGGACTCTGTGTTTTTTGTCGACCTGAATTACAGATTTTGAGCTTGGTGTGCACACCCCAGCCAAGAGTGGTGGTGAGACCCATGCGATCCTCACCCACGCACCCTGCGACTTTCCTCACATTTTGAAGGTGAGACCTGGTAACCACCCTGGTTCGGGAGGGGGGGGGTGTTAACACCTCCAACTTTTTTTGTAATTCAGGCTGCGTGTTTTAAAACCGATACTGCCTCATCATCCCCGTAACCCAACACTGTTCGCCACTGAATCTTCACTTCGAATGTTCACACAAAAACTTTTGTTATTAGGGAAGTTCCTAGCCTCAGTTAGTACTAATGAGGCCCAAATTGGCCTTACAGTTGTTCAAGAGCAGGCCCTCATATTGATTTTGGGGCACGCTGATTCATCAGTGTTGCTCCTTGGAAAAAATCTTTATGTCAATGTTGGTTACAAAAAAAAACCCTGAAAAATCAGTGTTTATGTAAAATAAAAACTTTCTCATCAGTATTAGAGCGGATGAAAAAAACTTTTTAGACAACAATGCATAATTGAAGGCAGATTCAACCAGAATCAATAAAAGGTAATAATTTCATTTGCATAATAGCTAGCAATGCATTGCAAGCTACCTGACCTAACTAATACCACAAATCATCTTCAGCATCACTATCATCAGCCCGAGCATCATCAGCATCATCATCCAACTCAAGCGGGTTGGCCGCTTCTCCGCCAGCCGCATCCGCCTCCTTCCCCCTTCTCCTCCTGTCATCCTCCTGCCGGGCTATGGTGCTGGTGTTGAGCGGCTTTCTCTTCTTGTAGTTTCGCCAGATCTCTACGATCTCGTCCCAGTTGGGCTCGTACTTCAGCAACGACACGTACATCAAGTCGCTGAGCCGTGCATCCTTGAGGCTGCGTCTCTGCCAAGACTTGATGATGTTCTGGCGCGAGAATCCGCGCTCGCACTCAACGGTGCTCAGCGGCAAGACCGCCACCTCCACCCACAACCGCACCAGGTTCGGGTAGTGCACCTGCCAGTCCGTGGTCTTGAGCATGGCGGTGAGCCCTGTGTGGAAGCCGCGCTCACTCTTCGGTGCATGTGCGAGGACGGGAATAAGCAGCCGCAGCTCCTTGACTGCTTTCTCTATGCCTGCAACAAGATTGGAAACACGCATAGAAGTAGCAGAGATTAAGAAACAGGAAACGTTCAAGGTGGAAGCCGCACAGGAAGGAACACGATATACAAAGGATAAACACAAGATAGATACTGGATACAATTAGGGATATGCATAGCATTGATATAACAAGCATGCAAATGCAACCCCTATTGGCTCACCAGGTACGATTTCGTCGCTTTCATCCGCCCGAAAGAGGGTGATCAGCGACTCCAGCCACTCCTGACACTTTGCGAGGTGTTCGTGCCTGTCGTGCGGCCAGCTATCGGGAGTGAACATGCGCACACCCGACAGCTTGTCAAGGTCCCCCAACCGATCCAGAAGGTTAGCCACAATGATCTTCGCGAACTCGGTGCAGATGTCCAGGCATGCGTCGTGGTGCCCGGGGCCAGGATAGTCGTCTAGCCAATCTTCATGCATCGTGAAGTTGAAGGTGGTCGGTTGGCCATCTGAGTCTACGCCCTCGATGCAGACGTCTTGTGTGCCATCAAGGCCATGCTTCTCCAGCCATGGTGAAAGCTTGGGGCTGAGACCGCCACCGAACTCGTCCCCGCAGTCGATGTATCGGGCCTCGAGATGGCCTTTTGTCCGTCTGATCTGCACATGAACAGCAGACAGATCCAGCTGGGGGGGAAACAAAGCACATGCATAGTGGAAAAGGAAGTAGGTATACTATGTACACAGTCCAAACATGGATACAAGAATTGTACATAGCCAGAGCGCGGAATGAGCACCACAAATGTACCTGCCGTCGCTGAAACGTCCTGCTCAAGACGTTCATCTGGTCAAGGACGTCGAACAGGAAGAAAAGAAGGAAATGAAACCTGTACGAGGTCACCACCTTGTACAACATCGGATTCCACTCCTTGAGCATGGTGATGACTGCGGGCAGAACCGCCACAAACCTGGCGATGGCATCACCACGGGATAACCATCTGACGTTGTGAATGCCCTGCAGCTCAAGGAATGTCTCGGTGAAAACCTCTTGGAGGTCCTTGAAGCGCTGGTGCCATTGCCCAGATCTGCCCAGGTGCTCGGCGATAGCACGGACGGTGCTATCGATCATGTTGAACACGGGCAGGCTCTCTGCTGCATCCTCTGCAGCAAGTGCCTTGCTGCAAACACAAGCAAGCGGTGGGCAATGCAGTGACATGATTAAAACACAGAAGACATGTATACGTGTCAACGCAGGAAGATGTGACAACCACTGCTGATACAAGCAATAAAAGACAAAGTGGCAACCATGGCAACATACGAGAAACACATATCGGTGGGCAATGTAGTGACAAGACACGAGGTGGGGAACGCGCAGACGGAGCCGTGCCACCAAGCCCGACTGCCGACCCATCATCACGGAAGCCCTGTCCGTGCTGACGCCCGCTTTTTACCGAAGATCCACGCCGCAGGCTTGCAAGTGGGAGACCAACATCTGCAACAAGGAAGCAGCATCTGCCTTGTCGACCGTCAACAACGCCATCAATTCTGTGACGACGCGAGAGTCGCGGATGAAGGTGGCAAACAGGATCATGTGCTTGCCTCTGCAGCGGTCGGTGCTCTCGTCACAGGAGATGCCGATGTACGGGCTGGCGATTATGATGTCGAGCTGTGTTGTCTGCAGCCAGGTTGCTGTAGACTGTGTCAGCTCGCCAAAGCCATACCTGACATAGAACATTGAAGCAGACAGTGAACAGAAGCATACGGTAAACAAAAGCATACGGTAAACAGAAGCATACACTATACAGATGCAAATATTGAACGGATGCAAACACCGAACTGTAGCAAATATTAAACAGAAGTGAACATATGAGAAAATGGAGGGAACTTACGATGTGTAGTAGGAACCATATCCCCTTTTCAAAAAGCCGGCAACGCCCGTCTCGGATAGGTAACGAACCAGGTTCACCCATGTCTCCATGGGTGCGGCTTGCCTGCTGACGAAGAGAAGGGAATCGAGTATCGCGATGACCCGCTTCTTCTCGCCGTCGTGTGCCAGCGGATGCTCGTCAATCCGCGGTTGCCTTGTAGCTCCCATGAGAGCATCTTGCCTCGTGATGGCGAGCTTGTGCTTGTTGGTGGTGGCATGTCGAGTGAAGGCTTGCTTCTGCACTTGCGGAAGTGGGGACGACGGGATCGTTATCGATGCTGGCCCGGCAGCGTCGCGATTCTACGGTGGAGAAGGCACTGCCTCCATGCATGCCATGACCGTGTCAGTTATCGTGTCAGGAGAGCCAGTTCTGACGGTGGGACAAGGTGTCGCCGAGTTGACATCAGATTTGTCACGCGGCTGACTGCCAGCAGCACGAGTCAGAGAGCAAAAAAGGAGGTCTAACCTGGTACGAGCTATTTCAATGTAGATATCGTCGGGGTCGTCATCGCCTACGATCCCTTCGACAAATCCAGCCATGGCGGGAGGGGCGAGGCAAAGGAAAACTATAGCTCTAATGGGCAAGTCTGCCGAGTAACAAACAACGCTCAGCTGCTGACACCCTAGCAAGAAAGTTGTTGGAGGAGACGATGTGGAAGATGCAAAGGAAGACGAACCTGGTTGTGGTTCCTTCCTTGCATGCAGAAACGGATGGCCCAACTTGGGCCATCCAAGGTGCTCAAGTTGCCTTGTTTTCGGCACGTACCACAAGCGACACGGTATACAACAGTGATGCTGTTGATTGCTGCCAGCGCAGGGAACGTTAGTGGGTGGCCCATGTGATTACGACAAACTGCCCAATCACCTTGTAGGCTGCTAGATTTTCAAGACATCACGACAAATTGCTGTGCAACGCGAGTTTCAGCCAAGTACAGGGAACAATCGCTCCTGTGATTGACGCTGACACCCGAAATAAATTCGCAAAATTTTGACCAATGAATAGATTCCACGCATTTTCAGCAACAAGACTCGGTTCGTTAGTGCTGGATTCGAATCAGTGTTGGTACATGAAACTTGCCTGATTTTTCAGGCAAGGTACCAGAAAGTTGCCTGAAAAATTAGTCCTTACATCTAAATAAACACTTTCCAAACAGCCTTAGGCCCCAAAAAAAGCGTGAAAAAAGGTTTTTCAAGGGCAAATCAT